AAAAAATTCAACTTTGGCAAGATCCATTTCTAATATGACTTGGACTGTATGAATTACAGAAATTGTGACATAGGAATATTATTTGGAGAAATTTTAAATAGTACCTTTTTCTTTTAAACAGAAGAATTTAAACTCTCTGACCCCTGTACTTAGTTTGGTTTTATATGTTTCAGTTTATGTATTTTCTTCTCCTACTCTGCGTCTTCTTTAACAATCTGGTTTCTTTCTTCCTTTTCATTTGGATTTTGAAAACCAGTTTGTTTCTCTAATCCATTTACTTTCTACTTTATTACCTAAAGTTTAGTACTTTAAAGTTTGTATTATTTTCAAGGAATTTGATAAATGTGAATCTAAATTAGTTTGTAGTTGATTCAAAAGCCATAATTCAGTTACGCCAGGATGAACCATACCTTAAAAACAGTTAACTATCAGATAACTGATTTATATTAAGGTTAATTTGGGGCTTCTGGCTGGCTCAGTCAGTAGAGCATGCGACTCTTCATCTCGGATCGTGAGTTCAAACCCCATACTGGGCATAGAGCTTGCTTACATACATATATACATATATAGTAACTTTTTTAATAGCCAAAGATTCAACCTTGTACATTTGGAATCAGTTAGTTGCACTTTTAACTCAGAAATCTAGATTGAGAAATAAATGCAACGGTTAAGAACATAAGTTAAGTGCTATAAATATCACATAAATATCGAAACATGTAAGGGTGGGTGCCTTGGTGGCTCAGTCAGTTAAGTGTCTGCCTTTCCAGGTCATAATCCCAGAGTCCCCAGATCAGGCCCCACGTCGGGCTTCCTGCTCAGTGGGGAGTCTGGTTCTCCCCCTGCCTCTCACCCTGCTCTTATGCTCTCTCACTCACTCTCTCTCTCTCAAATAAATAAAATCTTAAAAAAAAAAAAAAGCCTTGTAGGGGCTCAGTCAGTTGAGTGTCTGCCTTCAGCTCAGGTCATGATCCCAGGGTCCTGGGATCAAGCCCTGCGTCTGACTCTCTGCTCGGCCGGGAGCCTGCTTCTCCCTCTCCCTCTGCCTGCCACTCCCCCTGTTTGTCCGCTCTCTCTCTCTCTGTTAAATAAATAAGATCCTTAAAAAATACATCAAAACTTGTAGAATTTTAAAGCTGGAGTCAACTTGGTGATCACCTCATCCAGTGACTTTATTTTCTAGTGGGAAAAGTTCTGTGGCCTAGGGACTACTATTAGATTATTAAATTTGGAGAATATTCATATTTAGTTTCAGTATTTTTTGGGAGGGGAAAGGGAAATGATCTAAGTGTCAGTGATAGGAAATAAAGTGGTTTGTGACTTTTTAAAATTCTGTCTTCTTTTGAGTTAGGAGAAATTTTTTTAAAATCCTAATTTGCAAATAAAGTAGAGGAAGAAGTTGAGAACTTGGGCAGTTTCTTTGAAAGTTAGTAACAGAGCCAAGATTAAAAACACACCCTTGACTATCAAGACAACTTTTATTTATATAATGTCAATCACTGTAACACCTGTTTAGCCTACTGAGCCATGCTGCCCTTATAATGCCCCTGTGAAGCTGCCTGGAGCAGGGTCAGCTAGCAAGCCTGTGAGGGTGAGCAAGTGAAATAACAAGAGGAAATGTCTGAGAAGGTCCCTAAGGGTTAAAAAAAAAAAAAAAAAAAAAAGACAAATGTTGGTGTCTTAATTCTTCCAAACCTAAGTAGTTTGTCTTAGAGTAGTAGAGCCATTCTACTAATGGGAACTCCAGAGTCTGAGCAAATTTCAAACAGATAAAGCTGTCCCTTAGGATTCAGTAACTTAATGGCTTGCAAAAGAGCTAAGGCCTAAATGTTTTAGGCAGTGTCAAGCTGGACTCTACAACTTGCCTAAAGATAATAGAAATGGAAACATTCAAAGTACTTTTAGCCTCCTGGAAGGAAATGTGATCTAAAATAATAGTTTGAAAGTTGTAATTCTATATTTAAAATGTAAAATGCATAAAAAGGCAAATATGTGTTTCCGTGCTAACATAATAAGTGCCATTCTTTGTTACTCTGAAGAAGTCCAATGACTGTCCTGAACTAAAGTTCCTATCAGAATGTGTTTTATTTTAGGTAATTATACAGATGTAAAACTTTGTTCATGGCTTCAGTAACTGAGCTAGCAGTGTCTTTGTTCTATCATTTAACCCGACAATAACTCTCTGAAGTGACACTGTCATTCTCCAGTTTCACGTGTGGAAACTAGGGATCAGAGAAGTAAAGTAACTTGTCCAGAATCACAGACCAGTAAGTGATGGACTTTAACTCACAGTGTTGGGCCCCAAACCCAAGCAGCCACTAAAAGTTGCTGCTTCATTTAACTACAAGTCACAAAATGTTACCCCATATGTGTTTGATGGCTTTTCTTTATAAACAGTTTACATAATTTTCTTTTTACGTTTACGGGCAAATTTTAATGGTAGACTTAAGAGTAACCATTAGTAGTAGAAAAATAAAGAAATTCAGGATTTCAGCTAAAAGATGGTCTAGTGAAGTCCAACCTCTTTAACAGACTTGAAAGCTGAAGCCTAGAAGCTTACTGACACTCAGTACCAATATTGTTGTGATTAGAAGTTTGCAACATTTTAGGGTAAACACAAAATAAAATTCAGCGGTTCTAATGAAAACCATACAACATACCAGATTTTCATTGTATTTGAATACAGTATTTTAAAAATAATTCATTTATAAGTTCTTATAAATTTTTGCATCCCAAGTCCTTTGTTAAAGTAGAAAGAAAAGTAGAAGGGCCTGCTACACACATAAAACAGGGACCAAAAATTTTTTTTAACTAAACAAGTAAGCATTGTAGTTTTAAGGTTGAAGTAATGTATAACTTATATGGTAATTTTTAAGTATCTCTAGATGTTCCTCTGTTGGGAACATATTTTATACTGTATCAGCAAGAGTATTAGGTTTCCAGTTACCATGTGGCTTTTGAAGAATTTTTTTTTTTTTTAATTCCACTTTGGAGATACAGAGAAACGTAATGAAGATTGAATATTATGAAAAGAAACAAATTACCTAAAATGTTAAGTCTACACTGAAAATTACCAAAAATTGAAATAAGTAGAAAACATTCCCTTATTTGTGAAATGTTTCTTAATAGAAGTCTTGTGATTCATTTAAATTCACAGAAGATAAGTTACTGCAAGTGTTTGTAGGATGCTACTTGAAAATTTCCCATTTGAGAATTCAAGTCTTATTTTCTCCTAAGAAAAATTTGGTTATATCCATTTTATATTTTACTTTAAAAGTTAATCTTATACTTTGATACCTAATTCAATCTCATTTTTCTCTTATGTGTAATTACTGCTAACTTTAAAAAAAAGACACTGCTTAATTCAAAGGGAAATATGTTTAAAAGATGTGAAGCATTTAATCCTTGAATGCTGGAACCACTTTTAAAGTATTGTAAGAACATCTGTGTTACATTACACAGGGAAAAGAATGTATGCATTCCATGGCCTATGGGGCACTGGGGTGGCTGGTTTAGGAAAACTGAGTATTTTGCATTTCATGTTTTTTCCAACATAAAAAATTTTCTATGACTCTAAAATGAAGAATGGAATTCCAAGGGTAGGGAATGTAGTCAGGCAAACATAAGTCAAGTATAGTTGTTCTCTCACTTGTCACCTACTTCTGAAAAAGAAATCAGCTTCTGTAGCAGATTTGTCTTTTCATTTTGTTAAGCACTTTTTTTCCCCTTATTTGAGAAGTATTCCATGGAACAAACTTACAGAGAGATCACTACACCAGGAGTTCTTCAGAAGTGCACTGCGTGTCTCACTCAGCTACGAGTTACTGTGCAAATAATCTCTTACTAATTAGGAAATACCAAAGTTTGTAAGTGATTTACTCTTAACAAAATTACAGCAGATTCAAATATATTCCAGTGATAACCTCACTCTTGATCACTTGTATCCAGTATGCTTTCTTGAGTGGGAGGGAAAAGGATGGAGTTACAGCTCCATCAGGCTGGGTATCCCTTAGGATGTGTGTGTTGCATGTGAATATCATCTGTCATTGGTGGAAGAAAATAGAGATGGAAGAAAAAAGTTGGAGAATTATGACTACACTGGTGGACATGTTCTCAACTTTTTCATCTTTAATGTGACATGATATTAACATGCCAACACATACCCATATGCAACTCCTAATGAGCTAGGTGAAACTCCACCCCTTTCTCTGCTACTCCAGAAAGCAAGCAAGGGGGAGAATGTTAGGGGAATGCATCTTTAATCAACTAAAAAAAAAAAAGTGTTTTTTGTTTGTTTTTTTTTTTAAGTAATGACTTGAGAGTTTCATACCTTAAGGAACATTAGCATCTAATTACCTGTGACACATTTGACAGCTATGTCATGACTGATAAACTCCATATTCCTTAAATTTTGTGTTTTAGGCTCATCCAGAAACTCACTGTTTTTTGTTTGTTTTTTATTTCAAAATAAAGGAAGGCCAAATTTAATTGTATGGCAATGTAAATTTCTGGAACTATTTATAATTAGAATTAACTTTTTACAGAAGTATTTGTAACCAGTTATTTTAACACCATATATTCCTGAAAATTATCATGGGATAGTTTTTTGTTTTTCTTTTAAGGCTCAAACTAAATATATTTGAGGAATTTGAGTTTTGAACTAGTCATTGCCTGATCCAGGAAGAATTCATGACACATCAAACCATAGATATTGTATAAAAGTTAGTCTTTATTCCTTGATCTGAAAATGACTTGTTCTCAAGCTTTTCTAATGTCAAATTATTTGATATGCTCTTTATTTAGCTTTAGAACGTGTATAATAATAGCACTTTTAACTGGTTTTTTTAGAGGCACTAAACTTACTATATTATAAGGAAATAACTATTGAATTAATGTCATTAACATTTAAAAATTTTTTAATGTAAGGGGCTCTGATATATCTTATTAGTAATTTTGAATATTAGGGCTGTTTTTAATTTTTGTTTTGCTTTTTTTATTGTAAGGTATTATGAACTGGATCCTTACAAAAGTCTCCGGGACAATTTGAGGAACAAAGTGATCATTGAGTATCCAACATTACATGTGGTATTAAAAGAATCCAGTCATGACATGGAAGTTCTTCACCAAGGTAAATATAAATTTGTTCCTGTAATGCTTAGAATAATTCTAGTGAACCTGAGCACTTACACAACTGTGTTTATTTCTTTATATATTTGTTTTCCCACTGTATTTACACACTTAACTGAATTTGCTCTATAGCTAGCTATAGTTAATGTAAAGAACCAAATGAATGAGCTGCTGATTCTGTCGTGTTTGAGAGCACGTAGCTTATAATATCAATTCAAAATGAAAGAGTAAGTTTGGCTATAAAACGACATTCTTTGCCTTATTGGAGTTCTACAGGTTTTGTCTTTTTTAAAGCTAATAGCCTTTAAGTAACAGTCTGTCCAATATCAGATAAATTTACTCTCTAGTCAAAACTCTTTCTTTAGAGATTCCTAAAATGAGGGATTATAAAACATTTTTAGTATCTTACCTTATAGAAAGGGATAATGTTTAAAAGAATGTCATGTTTAAAATTTGGACTGTGTTTAGAATAAGCTAGTGACAGTGACTTGACCTTTATCTCCTTTTTTAAAACACACTGGTTTTATTTTCCTTGATGTTTGTTTCTTTGGCTATATTCCTTGTCATTTTAGTGATTCTTTAAAAGTAGATACTTGTCCCTCTTTGGTGAGTAGTAGAATTGGAAGTATTAAAACTGGAAATGGTATATGTAAAAGTTTAGTATCTAAAATGACTTAACCATATTTGCAGCTGCTGATTAGAGTAAGCTACTTGTGTTTCTGAATGCAAATTCTAGAGGATGAATAAAATTCAGAAATTACTTTTTAAAAGGGAGAAAGGTGACTCAACTCAAAACCATGAGATACCTCTTTCAGCTAAGAATAATAGTTACAGGCCAAGTTTCATTTTAACAGTCTCCAGATGGCCAGTGAATCCTTGGATTGGATTGAAATCTATTTTTTAAATAATATTACTCGAAACATGTGGTTTAGGTTTTATTGTTACACCAGCAGTATAGACTGAAATAGGCAGTAACCTTTGTTTTAAGGTGTTCTCTTACATGTATATAATAGGTTTTTTTCTTAGCAAAAGAGAAATTTTTTTTTCAAAGTGGCCAAAATTTTGTCAGCATCACAATTTGAATCTAGAATTTTAGGTAGCAAACGTGAAGTTTCTAATAATCGGTTATGGGCCTCTAAATCTTTAGATTAATTATTGACTATATATTTTTCACAATTTGAGAATATCTGATTTTATTTTCTCAAATTATAAGAGTGTTATAAATGACCAATTTCACTTTTTTTTTTTTTTTTAGCTGTGTAATACCTTACTTTTTCCTTAATATAATTCACATAGCTCTAAATGTTAGTTTCAGGGAAAGTTGTTTAGTAATGTGGGTTACTAGCCAGGGCAAACATGTCTGTGTAAATAAACAGAGCACACACAGCTCCTCTTTCACCTTGTTTAGGAATGCACACTGAATGAAGGCTTCCTGTAACGAAGCAAAATGAAAAGGCTATTTTTGTAGTGTACTTGGAACCTGATTAAGTAAAATTGGCTATTTTTTGGTGGGTATATGATATTTGACTTATTTACAGGAAGACAAGTGACTCATGCTTTCAGGATAGAGGACCCTTTAGAGCTGCTGTGGCAAAAAACTTAATGAGGGTCTGACAGGATCTTAAGGACCATAACAGTGTTGTCACATCATAAATACACTTTAAAAATAATGCCGGGTGTTTTGTACGTGCATTTCTTTGTGTGAGCACTTCAAGGTATCTGTTTTTTTGTATATTCTCATAGCTTTGAATATTCTGCAGGGTGGTCCCTTAATGCAGGAGGAGGGTTATATAAGAACAGGGCATTTTCTTTGGAATGCCTTGAAATTCCTTCTCTCTCCGGAGGCAAAAATGTTGGATTTTGATCTTGAGTTCATAGCACAAGGTGTCTCTCTTCTCGTTTGGGAAAAATGTGTTTCTGGGCTGGCATTCAGTAGTTTTCACACTTGATCATTGTTACAATGTTTGCTATGGTTGTAGATTGCCACAGTTTTTCAAAAGTCTGCCGGTATTGATGGGCAATAGGCAAGTTTTGTTTGTTTGCTTTTTGCTTTTTAAGGAATGTAAAAGGTTGACTATAAAAGATTGAGCCATTAAGGTAGCCCACTAGATTGAAAATGTGGAGTGCTGATCACCCATCTTGTATCAGTCCAGTGGGAAGTGCTCAGAATGGTGTTACTTGCTTCACAGGTCCCTATTTGCCAAAGGTAGCTGGTAGATTTAGATGATTTAATAAGAGCTGCTGCTTTTCAGTCTTAAGAAAAAAAAAATGGAGTGCAGTAAAAGAAGAAAACAGGACAGTTCAGGAAGCAAAGCAAGAGAAGGGTTTCCCCCACACTGCAGTAGTACACAGCTCCATTAATTTAAAAATATCAGCAAAATGTGTTTCTCTGTTGTTCTAAGATAACTCCAGTAGAAAATGCCTCTGCCTTTTGAAAAGGAATCCAACCCAAAACTGATGACTTCAATTAGTGAAAATACATAACATAGGAGCTACTCATTCACCAGTCTCTTGTTGGGCCAATATATCCTTTCATCCATTCTCCCTCCCTCTCTCCTCCCCTCATTCTTCCTTACCCCCCTTTCTCTTCCTCGTTTTGACTGTGTGTGACATATTGGGGTGGGGAGATGGGGATGGGTCTCAGGCACAAGAACACACATGTGAACTTTACAGTGCAATAGGTGCTATAATAAAATGTGTATACATTGCAAAGAAAGCCAGAGGAGACCAACTGACTTGTATTATCATGGAGATACTTGAAGGACTGGCCTAGAGTTTATAAAAGTCCATGAGGATCAGGACTGTATCTTGGATTGAACCTGTTTCAGTCCTTTCCTCATAAAAAAGGATTCAGTAAACATTGTGGTTGCTGGGACAATCTTAAATCTAGGTACCATCGACAAACCCCACGGAACTTGATGGTTGAATATGAGGCAAGATCTAGGTTTATGATTCTAGCATCAGCTCTTACTAAGCTGTGGGCCCTTGAGCATTTACTCTGCCTCTGAGCTTGATTTCCCTCATCTACACAATGGAAATAAAAGGCTATACGGCTGAAGCAAAGTAGTCCGTGTTTTAACCTTAATTTTCATAGTGTTTTAATATATTATTTCCTTTTAGCTTCACTATGCAATGAAATAGAGCTGTTACTCTGGTTGACTTGCATTCATATTGATTCAGCAAACAGGCTACACTGGGAGGTTAGATATAAGGAGGAAAGATCTAGTCTCTCTCCTTAAGGAACTCTCAGTTTAGTAAGTGAATCATAGTCTTGCTTGCTCCAGTCAGGACAGCTCCTTTAAAGGGGCTCCATTTCTGCTCTACGTTATATTTCCTATGAAAGGAAGGAGATGGCGATTAGTCTTCTCTGAGCCCACATTCACTCAATATACACTGACCCTCAATTTTAAGTTTAAAAAAAAAAAAAAATTATGGAAAAATATATTCCAACCACACTTGGCCAGCCTGTGTGATAATAGTGATCTTTCCATTGGTACGAATATGGGATCATAACCAAACTGTGAAGTGACCATTCCCAAGTCTTCCACAGAGTCAGGAAGGATGTTGCCTCACAAACTATAATTGCCACTTTCAGACATCGTTTCTTTATTGTGGCCAGAACTGTAATATCCCGGCCGCCTGGAACATGACATGGTTTGTCTGTCCCCATGAGCAGTGCTGTTGGTATGCATCAGAAGGGAGGAGAGAAGAAGGAAAAACAGAACAAGCTAAACAGAAACAGTATAAACACTTGACTGAATGTTTACTTATTTTTTTTCAGTGAAAAGTGAATCTCCCAAGAACGTTGGCAATGAAAATTGAGCACTTCTTCTGGAGGAAGAAGGTGAAAATTCCCAGACAATTGCAGAGGACTGACTATGCATTGACTAGCTGTTGGATGACTGGGATATTGTCAGTGGGCGGTTGGAATTTTTTGCTTCCCTGAGAGTAATTAAACAATCTAAAAGTTTTTTTTAAAAGGTGTATTTTCTAGCCTCTTGGATTGACTTATAAGGCCCTTATTCCTAGTAATAACCCCTTTTCTGCACCTGACCAGCATAGTGCTTATTTCAGTTAGGCCCAGGGTTTTAATATGCTTAATTCCAAGGTTGAAAACTTTTTTTGTTTAGTTTGATGCAAGACCAAACCCAAGAATCACCTGTGTCAGCCACAAAGCTGGCAGTCTCGTTGGTAGAACCTCACTAAACATAAAGGCTGTGTGACACACCATGTAGCCACAGGAGGACTGACCCATCGTTACCTATTCTTGTCTTTGGGGTTTATTTGTAACTCACCCTCTTGAGATGACTGAGTGGGTCTTTTTTACTTGGGTAGCATCTAGTTCAGTGTCACATGTAAAGGATAAATAAATACTATTAACTATTACTTCTTATATTCAGTTCACAAAATCAATGGCTTCTCGTTGTTTGAACCATCAGTGCTCACAAATTTGGCTCTCCTTGTTTGCACAGTGAGCTGTGTCTTATTATGAATTCTGTGCCTTTCATTCCGTTCCCATTCCACTCTCCTCATTACCATACAGGGGTGTTGTGATGAGCAGTTTTATGCTGTTTTGAAACATCCAGCAATAACTAAAGAAAGAAACACTTGGAACTCTTCAAAGTGTTACTGGAATGTATATGTGCATTTATGTATATACATGGCTTAATTTATACCTTATGGCAGCTCTGTATACATTATGATCTCACATATTGAAATTAAAGTTTCCTAGTTTTATTGGAATTTATACAGTTATGAAATTGCAATATGGCTATAAAAGAGTAAAAGATTATTACATCTGTGTTGCATCTGTGTACTTAATGGTTAAGAAAACAGTGATAAAATGGGACATTGGTGAATTCATTTTTAGTTTATAATTGGGATAAGTTTTAGACCAAAAAGAAGCCAGAGGCATTAATTAAAGAGGCTTGGGAAAAATAGAAATGAGAAGATGAGCGTAGGAGAAACTTGTAGAACACAATTATGTGTAACCTGGAGGTCAAAACTGGAGAAGCAAATCCAAAGACAATAATGCCACAAAGACCCTTAGTATAAAAGTAATAGTGGAACTGTAATTCATAGAAAATAAGGTATTGCAATTTGAGAAATAGCTACACTTCCTAAAGCAGCTTCAGGAATCTTCCTCATACGTGAAAGGTTTCTGTAGAATTAGGTTTTTCACAGTATTTCTGGGGAGACAACTAAATGGGATTTCAAAGGATTCATACTTAATCTAAAAGTGAAATTTGTTTTCTTGAAACAGGCAAGAAATAGGATGAATTGAATCAAATGTGTCACAGAATTGTTAGTGGGAAAAGTGGGATAAAGTACACACCAGGAGCATATGATCTGAATATCAGATGGAGAGCAGTTTCCTGATCGTGAAATCTATTATGACATAGTCTCATTTCCAAGAAAAGTACTGAGTTCCATGTCTTCTAGAATTTAAATTGAAAACTGGACAACCAAAGGATTTATCCTATACTTTCCCCCCTGCTCTATACTTCCCCCGAAAGGGGGAAAACATCTGCATGATGCAGTGCATCTTTGCCATCCCTATAGTCTAGAATTCTATTAGATTTTTCAATTATAGACTGTTCCTTAGGAAAGAATTTAGCATAGTTCCCTTAAATATAACTATCAGCTCATTTGATTAATATACATATTTATTCCCACAGGATTTACAATAAACATGTTTGAGTGAGGTAACTGTGACAACTGCTTGGAGGGGGTGAAGTGGGAATAATTCACCAAGAGCCCTAGATAGTAGTTAAGACTTAATTTCTTTTTTTTTTTTTTGAGGCCCTCTCCATTTGGATTCTTGATAAACTCGGATGAATAAACAAACTCCCTGGCCCATGTTAAGTTCAACATCCTGCATTTTGTTCATGAATCACATTTTAAAAGGAGGAAAGCTTCACCTGGCCTTCTTTATTTTTTAAACAATGATTTCAAAGGCAAGGTAGGCCTTTCATAATTGCTAATTATTATATATGGGATTAATAGCCATAAATTACAGTAAACAAAGCTTGCACCTGTTCATATTATAAATAGGAATTAAAGAGAGTTAGTATAATAGGTATTTAAGATTCCAAAGTGTAGTTGAGCCAATTTGTTTCCCTGTAGCAAGTAGTGTGGTTCAGGTTTCACAGTGTATAGTGAAATGTTAAACACCTAACTAATGCCAACAATTTTCTTATACATTTGGTTTAATTTGGTTGACATATACAGTGTGTTATACCTGATTTCATATTAGTCATTAAGTTTTAAGTAAAGATACCAGTCTGCTTTTATTTAATCATATACTACTGTGTTAAAATTTATTTTCAAGTAGATACTGTATTAACCAATTGTTCTTCAGTTGCAAGTAACAGAAACCCAACTCAGGCTAGCATAAGCATGAATGGCAACTTATTGGCTCATATACAGGGAAGTCCAGGCATGACTTGGTCCAAACACCCTAGGAAGCCATCTTTCCGTCTCTCATACCTAGCTCTGATTTGTGTTTTCCTGGGTTGGTTTTCTCTTTCAGGCCAACTTTGTCTTTGGGGAGGGAGGCAGTGAGGTGAGAATTGTAGATGGCAGCCACTGAGAGTGTCAGTTTACATCATCATAAAGCATGGCAGCACGTTATACAAAATTTGGGAAAGAACTTTGATTTTGCCTACATTCAATCACATTCCATCCCTGAGCTGATCCAGAGAGGAGCTACCCCAGAGGAAGGAGAAATTATCAGAAAAAGGAAGAGGGTAGGGAACAGGAGAGGCAAGATGGTTACTGAGAATACAAAACTAACAGATGTTCGTTGTACCCTCTTTGAGTTTGAGTAGCAAGAGTCTTCTGATTTGAAATAACATAAGGAGTAAAATTCAAAACTAACCTGTAAACCCGCATTGGCTTTAACTAGAGATTTTAATTCCTACTTGATGCCATTGCTGCTTTGAGTTGCCATTATAGACTTTAAAAAAAAATACTTTCCATTTGTGTTTGACATTTTGTTGCTGTTGGTTTCATCACATGCACACAGCACCAATCCATTGCCATCACAGATTTGGAAACTTCCAGTTTCATCAACATTTGAGAAATTTTGATATTGAAATTAGAGTTGTACTGGAGGAAAATACTTTTAAAAATGAACACTACTTAAATAAAAATAGGCCCTTAAGTAAATTTGGGGGGATCTTACTTCACTACAAAGTGTATTCTTTCAACTTTGGTCAGTGAAAGCTACCTAAGTATGTGTGTGCATGTTCTTTAAAAAGAACTATAATGTAAACATTTCCCATATTGGAGTGTGGCAACTTCGCTCATTTTGAACTTCATAACTGAATGCATCCTTTAGCCTTTGATGAGCTACTACACAAATCTATTGCCGGTTTTCTTTCTTGCTGAATAAAGTACCAAAACCCTTACCCTTTATGACTTGGCCCCAACCTCCTAGTTTTACAGCCTCCTCCCTTGGTGTCTCTCTCCCTTCCCTTCCTCCCTCCCCCCCTTCCTCCCCTTTCTTTTTCCACCCTTTGCCTCAGTCATGAAACAACATAAAGGTTTTATGGACATTCCAGGTTTTTTCGCCCTTCTGTGCCTTTCTTCTGGTGCATTGTCTCTCCGTGGACGTATTCTACCTATTCTCTGAGACCTGGCTTGAGCAGTAATAGTTGTGATCCCCACATATAGAAGTCATAGTTAATGTTCACACTGGATGTGTCTCCTGATTGTCTGATGCTAATGCCATACTGGTTATTAAATGTGTTTAACATCATACTAATAATAAGAGTAATAGCTAACATGTATTAATAGCTTACAAAATACCAACCATTATTCCAAGCACCTTATGTACTTGGATCAACATTTAAGATTTCTCACAACAGTCTAGTGAAGTGGATGTGAGAGTAAAGCCCTGCAGTAAGTGGGGTACAAAACAAAAAATGCAGTAACGTGAAATGGGTTTGCATTGTTGCAGGCTGAAAGATAGGACAGGCTGCGTTGGTACAACTAACTGTCCAGGAATTCCGAGCAGCTGACCATAGAGTCCCAAGTCCATTCTGTAGTTTGGCACCACATGGTGGCAGATGTCACTCAGGCTGAAATGTCGATGGGACAAATCTGAGTCAGTCCTGTATCTGACTTGTACTTCTAGGATAACAGCATGAGTCCAGCAATCTCCTAGGTAGGTGATGCCTGTTTCATCATCCTTATCTGAAATTAACCCACCCCCTGCTTCCCCACTTCCTGAGACAGCCTGCCATTTCTTTCCCCAGCTTCACCTCCCCTCTCGTATTCCTCAACTCCACCAAGAGTTAAGAATTTGAGCCCACCTGCCACTTGTGAACAGGGGTTAGGTGGGGAATGGGAATGGTCATGTTGGCAGCATCACTGACAGGATTTACCTTAAATCCATTTTACAGATGAAAAACCCAAGCATAGAGGTTAAAGCTTATTCTTAGGCCAAATTGCTAAATGGTAAATGATGGAGCTTGAATATTTTCCTTCTCTTGATTCCTCTCTGTACCTGGCATTATCTTTCTTCCTGTCTATATAATTATTGGTGAAATTCTTCGAGTCTTAAAGGGCCAAATCTATGGTTGATACTTGCGTGAGAACGGAAGCACAGTTACTGGCATGACGTAAGCCCTCAGGGAAGATTGGGCTTTGAGATGAGGTGGGAGGAGTAGGAAACCTCTTTAGATCAAAAGATTTTATAAAAAGTTTTAATTTTTATAGATTGATCTCCTTCAATCTATGGCAAAACCCCTGACTGATAGGATAATATTAATAGCTAAAAACCCAGAACTTAGCATAATCTAGGCACCATTGTAAACATAACTATCAGTCACTGAATCCTCACAATCCTGTGAGGTAGGTACTGCTGGGTTTCTTTGAACCTAAAATGTCATTAATGATACGATGTGTATTTTATGTAACACTAAGAAAGAAAAGATGGCTGCCAGTTACATTAATGACATAATGCTTTTTAAAAACTCAATTTAGACTGTTTATACTTAGAGAGCTCTTTTAGTCATTTTATTTCAGCAAATCTAACACTCCATCGGGCGCCTGGGTGGCTCAGTTGGTTAAGCGACTGCCTTCGGCTGAGGTCATGATCCTGGAGTCCTGGGATCAAGTCCCACATCAGGCTCCCTGCTCAGCAGGGGGGTCTGCTTCTCCCTCTGACCCTCTTCCCTCTCAAGCTCTCTGTCTCTCATTCTCTATCTCTCAAATAAATAAAATCTTAAAAAAAAAAAAAAAACTAACACTCCATCGATTTATAAGACACACTATTTTGTATACCTACAGGAACGAAAAACAGAATTGTGTGACACATCCTGACTCAAGATGGTAAAATATGAAATAATAATGCAGAATTGATGTAATAGGGTATTGAGACAAGTTTTTGTATCACTCTGTGCTAATATAAAAAGAAAAACCTAAGTGAAACTATGGGTAAGGCATTCTGAGAGCTTCCCAGCAATCAGGACAGTGATTTGTGGACCCAAATACTGAAAGGCTGCAGTTATCCACTCGTGCCACCAGAAACAGCCACCAAGTCCACGTATGCACAAGCAGTGAGAACTACATCGTGACTGTGGCCTGGCCAAAAGCTATTTCACAACTAAAGATTTCAGAGATGTTAAAATGTGGGCTCAAGAGTCCCTTGAGTACAGTACCATCATCCCCCTTTTGTAGGATATGGGCAGAGAAACTGAGCCACAGGTCAGTCACATGGAGAGTAAAGAGGTGAGCCCGGATTCAAACCAAGGCCAGTTGGGCTTCAGAGGTCATGTTCTTAACCTTTAGGCT